GTCTATATCTATATCTATATCTATATCTATATCTATATCTATATCTATATCTATATCTATATCTATATCTATATCTATATCTATATCTATATCTATATCTATATCTATATCTATATCTATATCTATATCTATATCTATATCTATATCTGTTATCAACCTGCCTGTCTCGGCCTTGGTATGGCCTGCATTGAGATGGCGGCATAAGTTCTGTTGAATTGGTGAACCTGTAGAGGAATTGGCCTGGCAAATGCCACAACATGTGTTGGCCACCGGTCAGCTTTAAAATGGGGCTTTCCCGTACACCCGATCGACAGCCGGGCCGAGCCCGTAAACCAATCCGCATTGTGCCTTCGCCTCTGCCCTCGCCTCTGACATTGGCTTAGCCAGGCCACAAAATGCGGCTCAGGCCACGAACTGGGCTCGAGCCCAACCACCGAAATTCAATCTAAGCATCTATCTGCAAGTCAGTTCAATAACACCACACACACGCACACACACATGCACACACTGCTACCCACAGTCGCGCACACCATCCGGCGGCATTTGTTTTGGATTTCCCGTCGGATTAAGCAACTTAGTGCACAATCCGTCGCTTGGTTCGCGGCGTTTTGTTTCCTTCAGTTCCGCACTTTGCGCGAAGGTAGCCCAAGCGATCCTTCGTCTGTCCCTCCGTCCGTGCGTCCGTCCGCCATCGCCTCAGCCTCGGCTGCCTGCCCACTTGCCCGCTTGCCTGCCTGCCTGTCCGGCCGTGGGAAAACCCAATCAGACGCAACACTTCGCGCATTCCTTTTTATTAGGGTTCTATATTGGCGTAATCCAGATTTCGCATTTTATGCACCGATCGCATAAAGAACTTGGCATCGCTTTTACGACGCCGATCCCTAAATCAGCACCTAGTCCACCCTAATCCCAAACTGAAAGATCAATATTCCGACGGCACTTAGCACTGCCTCCCGTCCTGCCTACCCGAACAGCACTTGCATTTTAATTAAAGTAATCATGACTATACGATCCGTTCCGATCCATTGCGATTCGATCTGAATAAAAAGTCCCTCGATTCACTTCCCTCTGCTGCAGATTTCCATGGAGCGAATCGGCGTCCATTGGAGAATGTCTGTGCGGTCCGTGTCGAAGTCTTGCATACCAAACACAACCATTTATCATATGACCCACACTATATATCATATATCATTCGGCTGCAGGACCCTTTGACGCTTGGTACGTGCCGACGCCAAGAAATTATCATTAGATCTTGAATAAGAAATTACAAAAACAAAAAAATGAATTCTTGAGAACTGGGATTATAAAAGGCGGCATACAGTGTGGAACTGTTCAGAAGATTACGACTGGTTTAAAGAACCTTTATGCTATATAGGCGAACTAACTCATCCTTATCCTTATCATATATCTTATATCTTATATAT